AAGCCTTCTCTTATTTTTCAAGTAAAGAGCATAATCAAATCAATAAAAGTTTGGCTGAGCTAATATTTAGGGACTAATACTACATTTATTTTTTTTTAAAATTTTATTCATTATGTAATAGAAGTTAACTTTTTTCTATCATTTGTTTATTTGGTATATTAAAAAATTAGCTATCTAACATTATAAATTTTTAACCCTTAATTTTAACAACAAATTAAAAGTTTTTTTTTTTTTTTTGGTATGACCATCCGGTATCCAGAAACTCATTGGACCACTGACTAATTCGGATTCGAGCCAGACAGGACCCAATGGGCAGCAAAGCTCTCCCTCATGAGTTTTAACGGAACTGCATTCACAGGACTTGAACTCAAGATCTCTGGTTAAGCTGAAAAAGTCCCAATCAACTCATCCACCCGCTCATGGATACAAATTAAAAGTTGTTTATTATTGAATATCAATGTAATTAAACTTTTATTAGTTTTTCAATCTTTTTATTTATCTTACTTGTATTTTATAACTTGAATTCAGAATTGTTTATTCTTATTAAAGAAAACAATTTTAAATTATTGAATATCAAATTTGATTAAGTTCTTGTTGGTTCTCTAATTTTTTTATTCATCTTACCTCCAGTTTATAACTTGAAATTAGAACTGTTTACTCTAATTGAAGAAAAAATCATCATTGTAATGCTTAGGTGATTATCACCAATGGTACGAACCTTTTTCAATGGTGAATAAGCCAATTTCTTATGTAAGAAGAATAAGAGGCAGTGTTTCTTGTAGCTCAAAATAACATGGCAAAATTGTTGATACTAATTTAATTTAATTTGATCGCGCTGATTTTCGGGGTGAAAAAATTGTGCGACCTATATAGGAATGGATCCAACCTTCAGAGATTTGGAGTTATTTAGGTCGTTTGAGTTCGGGTTTGGTGAACAGTCATTTTCGAAGGAATAAAAAAAACGAGAACAACGTTGTATCAATTTATAATTTGGACCTAGTCTGCTGCTTATTAATGCTGTCAACATTTCTTTTTCTTTCTCTTTTATATATATATATATATATATATTTCATCTTAATTTGTACAATAAAATGTAAACATTCTTATATTCCGTAATTATTTCACTCACAATATGTCATATATTCAAATTTAGAATAATTTATTTTTATTAAAAAGAATTATCATTGATTACTTCAATGATTGACTTATATATAATTTTTATTAAGTAGTTTTATTTGATAGATATATACATATGAAAATAATATAGGGCAGGTCATTTTTTTAAAATTGTTTCTAGAGGATTTGCCTAAAAATTTATTTTTTTAATTAATATTTTCAAAAATTGATCGTTAAATTGAAAATTTTATTTATGTAAATTATGTATATCAACTTTTATATTATTCTAATACTTATAATCATTTAATTAAAATTTTATATTTATTGATATATAATGGTATTAAATTTTTTATAATCAACAAAATAGTTGAACATATTAGAATAATTTAAAAATTAGTATACATAATTTATATGAATAAAACTTTCAATCTAACCGTTAGTTTTTAAAAGTATTAATTAAAAAATAAAATTTTAAACATATCTTCTAAAAAAATTTAAAGAGAACTATATGTAATATACATTTTTCTATATATATATAGGAAGAAATCAATTTTTCATTCATATAATATATAAAAATATTACATAAATATATTGCATATAAAAAAAATCCAAGAATGTTACATTTATTAATGCAGCTGGTAAATCTTCTGATTCCTTAACGTCTACATGGATGATGCTGTAGCTAGAGTCCATGATCTCTCTTTTGAGAATGACACGCCAAAATTGTTGATTTTACAGGGAAGAAACAATGCGACCCAGCCCAGAAATGGATCCAACCTTAAAAGAGTACATTTTTGAACTCATTTTTAGGTCATATAACTCATTTAGGGCCTAGTGGACCTTGTTCTATAGGGACACAAGGCCGCAGGGGACAAGAGTTGCAGCAACATGGGGCAGGAAATTGGTTCAGTTCATGACCTTCAACAAAGTTGATGAAGGCACAAAAGGGGCGATCTTGGAGGTTCATTTTGAATGCGGCTTCTATAACACCTTTGAAGCCGTCTAGTAACATATTCCCTTCCACCTCACGTAATAATGCTATTAAAACAAAAGAAAAAAAATTGTTAATTACCATCATTGGATGAATTTAAAACTTAAAACACCAAGAATCTCCTTGTGATTCACAAGAGAACTCACCCCATCATTTCTGATGCTGCAAATAGACCTCTCTGAAAGAATATCAATGATCTCTTGGATGATATAGCTGCGCTTGCGCTTGCGCCTGCATTTTTTTCTGCAAACATGCTTGAATATGATAGAAACATATGGGGGAGGGAGGCTAACCAGTAGGCAATTGAACATTAAAGCAATGTTCTTAATTTGTGGGGAGAACAACCACAGAAGAGTGAGGAAGAGAGGAGCAACAGTGGTGAATTTATAGGGGAGGGAAGGGGAGGGGGGATGGAGGGTTGGAGGGTTGGTAAGGATACAGAAGAATATGAGTTGTAAGGGCATGTTTGGTTAATGAAATAGCAATTCCTTCTCTCTTCTTATCACTTGCTATTACATTTGTCTAATTTAACTCATTTTTATATTTTTACTTAGGAATGCCTTCTCCATCTAACCAAATGTACATGGTGTAAGGGATTTGATGTATAGAAAATCAACTAGTTAACATGTTAGTATAATACTATTTGTTTTTTTAATTCTTTTTAAATTTAGTGGTATGATAAATAAAGTTGAATTTTTATTACTTAGTTATACAGTAAGTAATTTTTTTGTTAAGAGTGACTGTTAGAAGCTTTTTGATTAAAAGAAGTTGTTAAGTAGTTATCCGTTAAGAGTAATATGAATAAAATTAGCTTTTATTATCAATTTATATGGTAAGCAATTTTTCATTAAGAATGACCGTTACTAAATTTTTGTTTACTAGAATTCGTTAAGTAGTTATCCGTTGAAAAGAAATTTAGTGAGTTGTTAGATATTAAAAATTGTTCATTAAATATTTT